AGTCTGGGAGGTAGCGAAAGATGCTGCAGTCCATGGGGTTGAAAAGAGACACAACTGAGCGACTGAACAACAACAATTACACAGTAGTTCATGGTACTATGGAGAGAATGATGAGAAGACTGCCTAGTCTGGAGGGGGCAGGGAAGAAGTAACATTTGAGACCTGAGAAATAGTAGTTGGCTGGGGAAGAAGGGAAGGGAAGAGTGTTCCAGGAGGGAACACTCCTGGAGGCCCTCCAAGGGACCCTAAAAGAAATGGGACATGGCATTTTGGAAGACCTGAATTGGGTTGGCCAAAAAGTTTGAGTTTGTCAGTAACATCCTAAAATGCATATGGAATCTCAAGGGGCCCTGAATAGCCAAGAGAATTTTGAAAAAGAAGAGGAAAGTTAAAGGTCTAATACTAATTTCAAAATATATTACAAAGCTACAGTAATTAAGACAGTATGGTACTGGCAGTGTTGTGCAAATCAGCTTAGAAGCAGGCAAGAGTAGATGCAAGGAGAACAGTCAGAAGGCATTTAGTAAGAATCCAGGCCAGAGATGATGGTAGTAAAGACAAAGGTGGTGACAGTGAGGAAGGACAAAAGAAAACTGAACAAAGTTGATATAAAAGAAGCAAAGTCACTTAGAATGCCATAACCTGAATGTGGGAAATAAGACAGAAGGATGAATGGAGAATGATGTTCAACTTTTCAGTTTGGGAAACTACATGGATGATGAGTAGTACCAATCACTGAAAAGGAACAGGCTTGCCAGGAAAGCTTTTATTTTTAGTCTGTTGAGTTTGGAGGCACCTGGGAATTATCCAAGGAGACAAGTTGTAAGCAGTTGAATACATGCAAAGGTCTGGAGCTCAGAAGAAGAGGTCTTTATGGAAATATGAACCTGGGGTTTGTCCATCTATAGCTGACAGTGACGCCACTGCAAGTGGATGTGACTGTATAAGGAAAGGGTATAAAGTGAGCATAGGACCTAGGGCAGAGTCCTGTGTGTGTGTGTATGAAAGTCACTCAGTCGTGGTCAAATCTTTGCAACCCCATGGACTGTGGCCCGCCATGTTCCTCTGTCCATGGAATTCCTCAGGCAAGAATACTGAGTGGGTTCTAATTCCCTTCTCCAGGGCATCTTGCCAACCCAGGGATTAAACCTGGATCTCTTGTGTTCCAGGCAAGATTCTTTACCATCTGACCACCAGGGAAGCCCTTAGGACAGAGTCCCAGAGAACTATTAATGCTTCTCTAATGTCTGAGTAGAAGGGAGAAGTGAAAAGTGAGAATAAACAGCCAGAAAAGTAGGAAGAAAACAGGACTCTGGCAGTCAGAAGTCAAGGGAAAAAAATGTTTCAGGAAGAATCAACTGTGTCTAAAGCTGAGCAGTCAAAAAGGATGAGGAATAAAACTGGCAAGACTAATTCTAATGAAGACCAGACAGGATGTAGTATGGGCAGAAGGTAGGGAAGCAGAGGGAATCTATTCAAAAAGTTTAACTTAGAAGAGGAGGAGGAAATGAGATTGTGAAAAGGCCAGGGAGAACATATGAAAAATGGTGTTGAGAAGCTGTATAATACGTTGGATAGAGGAACCAAGGACAGAAGAAAGTGAAGAAGGCAGGGATGAGTGATAGATTGGGAAGAAAATGGAGGGCCCAAGGGACAAGAAATTGATAACACTGAAAAAGGGGAGAAAAGGAAGAAAATTGGTATAACAGAAGGCTGACATGAAAGATTCAGATGCCGAAGTTCCGTATTTCAAGAGAGGAACAGGGACAAGTGATAATAAGGTTCAGCATTCAACCAATGAGAATGGATGTTGAAAGAGGCAAAGGCTTACAGTGACAGGAATAAATGAAGTCAGGGAAAGGAAAGACAAGGTGCTATTGGATGGGTCATTCACATAAACACTCAGGGCGTTCAGAAAGATAACAAGACTTAAAGAGAAAAGGATATTGATAAGGCAGGCTTTGAAGTCTGAGTCTAGTGCAACAGATGAGACTCCAGAAATCTGGTAGGTTTATGGTTTTTATGGTTTTATGATATAGTCAGGTATTATGAGCCTCAAAGGAGAAGAGTTTTTTTAATAAGATGATGAAAGAGTAATGGTTTGGAATAGGTACTGAGAAGCTAAGAGAATGCCAACACATTTGAAGGTAAGAGTAGCTTCTACTCAAGAGAGTTCAGGGGAAGATTTTCTCAGGGAAAAAAAACTAGATTAGTATAAAAAATTGTGTTAGGACTGTTACGTGAAAAGTTGGGGGATATATAGATTTTTTTTAAAAAGGACAACAGAAGGAGACTACCTCAATACAATAAAGAACATGTATTAAAGCCCACAGCTGACATCATATTCAACAGTGAAGGTTGAAAGCTTTTCCTTAAAGATCAGGAACAAGGCAAGGATGCCTGCTCTTACCACTTCTACTGCATATAGTTCCGGGAATCTTAGCTAGAGCAATTAGGCAAGAAAAAGAAATAAAAGGCATCCAAATTGGAGAGGATGAAGTAAAATCAGGTTTGCAGATGACATCATCTTATACGTAGAAAATACTGGAGATGACACACACACACAAAATCAGAATAAACAAATTCAGCAAAGTTGCAGAATACAAAAATCAGTCATGTTTTCATATGCTAACAGTGAACAAACAAACAGATAAACAAATGGCCAGCAAACATGAAAAAACGTTCAACATCACTGATCATTAGAGAATTGCAAATCAAAACCACAAAAGGCCGCATCACACCCATTAGGATGGCCAGTAATGGGGCGGGGGGGGGGGGGGGATGCGGGGGCAGCGTGAAAACAGAAAATAATAAGTGTTGATAAAGATGTGGAGAAGTTGGACCCTTGGGCAGCTGGGACTGTAAAATGGTACAGCCACTACAGAAAACAGTATGGAGCTTCCTCAAAAAATTAAAAACAGAAATGCCATTAATCCAGCAACCCCACTTCTGGATATATATCCAAAAGAACTGAAAACAAGATGTTGCAGCCATATCTGAACACCCAAGTCCAATGGACTAGCACTATGCAACAGCCAAGAGGAGGAAGCAACCCAAATGTCCATTAGTAGATAAGTGGATAAGAAATGTGGTCTAAACATACAATTCAGCCTTAAAAAAGACAGGAATCCTGCCATATGCTACATCAATCAACCTTAAGGACACCATGCTAGGTGAAATAAGCCAGTTACAAAAGACAAATACTGCATGATTCCACTCACATGAAGTATCTAAAGCAGTCAAACTTACAGAAACAGAAAGTGGAATGGTGGTTGCAAGGGGAAGGAAGGAGAAAAGAGACAGTTCTGTTCAATGGGCACAGAGTTTCAGTTTTGCAAGATGAAAGAGTTCTAGAGATCTGTTGTATGACAAAATGAATATACTGCATGTTACTGAGCATACACTTAAAAATGGTCACAGTGGTAAATTTTCTGCTAGTGATTTTTATCACAATATTTTAAAAGGGGGGGGGGTGCTAAGTCACACCACAGCATGCAGGAGAGAAGTTGAGAAAAGCAAGCTACGCAGAACAATGGAGGTCTGCATTCTAAGCAGTGACCCTGAAGGTCAAAGGTAGAGACAGCAAAATGAAGCCTTCAGACTCCTGCTACACTTCCGGTTCAAGCTGTTTCAGATCCAACTGAGAATGAGGCCTCTGACTCAGTGCTAGAGACTTAATGGGGCCTTTTTAAAAGTCTCAAGACTATACTATGAGAAGTAACTATGGTACCTTAAAGACATCCTGAACAGAGGACATAGTTATTTCCTCAGACCTTCACCCCACAGTAGCAACAGCCATAACCCTCAACGAGGGGGAGGTTCTCCTGCACTGAGCCAGCTGGGGCCTGGAGTGGGTGCTCCTCCAAAGGAAATCCTAGTTCCTACCTTGGCTGGAGCTGTAAGGAGCCTTCCCTCGAGGGCTCAAATGTAGCTTGAAAAGGGAGGAAAAGCCAAATAATTATATGCTCCAGACACAATTTGTTAAAACCTTTCCTCTGCCTTTTTTTAAATATATTAAAATTTTAAGATTCTTGGGTCTGTTCTTCATATGTTAGCTAATGGAGCTCACATGCTCAGCCTTGAAGATACTTAAAAGGAGGTGGGAATGGTTCATCTTCTCCATACCCGCAGAAAGTAGATACTACGTTTATCATAAATGATCTCTGATGGGTGAATTGAAGATGCTCACAAAAGGACCAGCGTGAGTCTGCTTTTCCATTGTAAAGCCTGCTCACTGTGTTCTATTCAACAAACCGGTCAATTAGGACACCTGGATTTTAGAGAAGGTGGCTATATATTTAAGTAGTAGCCCTGAATCCCCCAAAGACTGCAGTGTGACTGGGTCTCTTAATAATCTGTATAATTTTTATTTTAAAAAATTGTTTATTTAAATCTTATTAGCATGTTAAACCAGAAAAGAAGCTTGGCACTTTCTTCTCCTTGCAAACCTGAAGGGTAATAAAACCCAGGACCCCCTTGAATCCGTTACTCAAACAAAAGGTGGCAAAGTCTTAGTTTCATTTAAATGAACCTAGGCTAACGAGTTAGACAGGAAAGTCCAAGTCAGACACTGGAGGGAGAGGACTCAGTGTCTGGCAATGGTCACCGACACAGATCAAGAGACTAGAGTGAGAAAAGGAGGACTAAAACCCCAAGGATACGTGTGAGTTCCAATCCTCTACCATTGCTCGGAAGGTCACTTGCCTCTCTCCTGAGAGGCCCTTAGTTTCTCCCTGCTCTGATCTTGCTGCGGTATTCTGTGTCTACTGAAGTATAAGTGTCAATTGTTCTACACAGTTTCCACCTCTCAGGACTGGTTACAAGGAACCGTCATCTCTGTTTGAAGTTTTAATATCTGCCTTCCTTTTACACCACAACGTTTCAGAGACAAGCACGGCTGAACAAGACTTTATCTGCAGACCCCTGTGGACTGTTCCGTGTTGCCAGTGAAGGTGGGGTGGGGTGGGGTGGGGTGGGGTGAGGTGCTGTCAGAGGCTTACCAGTGTTTTCCATAGACCCAGTGGCCTCCCCATGTCAGCAGACAGATCCCAGCTGTCGTTTTCTTCCAATGATTTCGAAGTGTTTTAAAGAACACAGTCATGTTCTCTTAGGGATTTGCTAGATCAGTAGAGGCAGAAAAGAAAAATATAATTATCCAGGGAATCATGTGGGCCCTACGCTTTCATCCTCTTCCTTCCTTCATCCTCTCCATGTCTTCCTTCCTTCCTCCTTTTCCTTCCTAGACACTTCATCTTCTTACCTGCCCACCTACATTTCCTTTCTTTCTTCAATTCTTTCCACCTAAACTATATTTTTTCTTCTTTTTTTTCCCATTTATTTTTATTAGTTGGAGGCTAATTACTTTACAATATTATAGTGGTTTTTGCCATACATTGACATGAATCAGCCATGGATTTAATACTTTTTCTTCTTTCATCACTTTTTCTTAGAAGGAAGAGGAAAGGAATTCTAGGAGTCCTGTCTTTGCTTTCTTTTTACAGTCACTATACCTGTTTAAAAGTATCTGTTTATCCATTATATATAAAGTGCTTATCATCAAACTAGTAATCAAACCAGTGATGTAAAAGGGTTATTCAAAACAGAAAACAACCAGGCCCTCAATAAAAGAACACTCAGAGAAAACTCAATGAAGAGGAAATGTACATAACTGTAAAAATGCTCAACTTCCAAGGTAATCAAAGACACGCAAATTACAAAGAACTATCTCCATTCACCTATAAAATGAACAAAATTCTAAAATGATTGTATTCACTGATGACAAAATGAGACAGACACTCACAAACTACTATAAGGAAGGTAAATTAGCATAACTTTGTGGCAACCCACTCCAGTATGCTTGCCTAGAAAGTTCCATGGACAGAGGAGCCTGGTGGGCTGTAATGAATGGAGTTGGAGAGAGTCGGACATAACTGAGCCAACGAGCATGCACACTCAAAAACAAACTCATGTCAGTGTATGGCAAAAACCACCACAGTATTGTAAAGTAGTTCAGTTCAGTCGCTCAGTCGTGTCCGACTCTTTGCGACCCCATGAACCGAAGCATGCCAGGCCTCTCTCTCCATCACCAACTCCCAGAGTCCACCCAAACCCACATCCAATGAGTCGGTGATGCCATCCAACCATCTCATTCTCTGTTGTCCCCTTCTCCTCCTGCCCTCAATCTTTCCCAGCATCAGGGTCTTTTCAAATGAGTCAGCTCTTTGCATCAGGTGGCCAAAGTATTGGAGTTTCAGCTTCAACATCAATCCTTCCAATGAACACCCAAGACTGATCTCCTTTAGGATGGACTGGTTGGATCTCCTTGCAGTCCAAGGGACTCTCAAGAGTCTTCTCCAACTCCATAGTTCAAAAGAGTCAATTCTTCAGCACTCAGCTTTCTTTATAGTACAACTCTCACATCCATACATGACTACTGGAAAAACCATAGCCTTGACCAGACGGACCTTTGTGGACAAAGTAATGTCTCTGCTTTTTAATATGCTGTCTACGTTGGTCATAACTTTCCTTCCAAGGAGTAAGCGTCTTTTAATTTCATAGCTGCAACCACCACCAATTAAAAAATAAATAAATAAAAACAAAAAAGTGAAAAAAAAGTGACCATACATACTTCTGTGTTTCTTCACCACACTTATCATGTGATGGTCCGTATGTGTTAGTTTACTATCCCACTGGAATGTAAACTCCATGAGCAAGGACTTTGCCTGCTCTGGTTCACTGCAGAATCCCCATGTTCAAAATAAGATCCGGCGCATAACAGCCATTTGATAAATAACTGTGGAATGAGATGGGGTTCAAGACATGGCACATTGTAAGGATGGATATCTTACTCAGAAAAGGTTTGGAAAAGAGCAGAAGCAGGAAGGTCACTCTGACCATCTCCCCACATTGCTGTTTCTTAAACAGATCATAAAACCCTCCAGTGAGAGGCGCTTGCTTTGTCGACAAAGACTCCTTAACACACAGGCCTCTCTAAGGTTTCCATCTGCTACAATTACCTCATACTCTTTACCCTATCACGCTTCTCCACGATGGTCTATTCAAACCCCCGGGTCCTCATTTCCTTATGAAGGCTCTCATGTCATGTAAAACTTACATTAGATAACTTGCATGCTTTGCTCCTGTTAATCTGTCTCTGTCGATTTAATTTCCAGACCCAGGTAGAGACCCTATGAGGGTCAAGGAACACTTTTCCCCCACCTACATGAAATTTTTTTTCACTAAGAATTTTTGACGTAGAAAAAACTAAAAAATATAATTTTAAGTAAAATTAACAGGATTTAAAAGTCTTATGTAATTGCCATTTACCAATTATGTTCAAACACAAATATAAATGAAAAAAACAGAAATAAACACATGAGACTTTGTAGTAATTCCCTCTTGTGAGATAACAGGTGATATTTATGTTTTAAATTACAATGTATTTTTTAAATTTTCTGAAGATAAATTATTTTCTAGACAGAACCTTTTTAACTGAGGTAAATAGACCAATGCTGATGGGCGTGGGGGCAGCATGGGAACAGCTGCTTTTGCTGATTCTAGTTCTTTGGCAGGACTAGTGGTAAAGAGCCTGCCTGCCAATGCAGTAGATGTAAAACATGTGGGTTCGATCCCTGGGTCAGGAAGATCCCCTGGAGGAGGGAATGCAACCCACTCCAGTATTCCTGCCTGGAGAATCCCATGGGCAGAGGAGCCTGGCAGGCTACAGTTCACAGGTTTGCAAAAAGTTGGACACGATTGAAGTGACTTAGCACAAGTTAGTTCTTTTATTACTCCATTTAACCACAGGGACTCTCTACTTGACCAGAAACTTCAATCAGGCTCTGAGTTCTGCTGGACTAGGACTTACCTTGGGCTTCCCTCTAGGCCCTTTTAGAATCCAATTTGAGCAAGACTCCTACTAACGTAGTTTAGTGAAAATCTCCCATCCACACCATTGGAATCTGACCACCCTGGATATCTTATCACCCTGGTCTGCCTTCAGCAAGAATTCTCTGGGTCACCTAGTAAGAGTCCCCTTTACCCCTGACATTTCTTTAGCAATTTTCCATCCACTGATGCCACCCTGCTCCTTGGCTGTGAATGCCCATGTGTCCTCACTGGAGTCAGGGTTGAGTTCAAGCTCTTCCCCTCAGTCCAAGACCACACCTGCAGTGGCTTCTACATCCGCCCAGATGCCTCTCCCCACCCTGGAGTGACGTCTGTCTTACCAGTCTTTAACAAGTGTCACTACTTAATTTTTTCTTTACCGCCACCACTGGCTAAAATTCCTAAGACCAGACACATCCTTATCACCAGTCACGTGTGAAACTGGTGCCAGGGAACCCACCTTCCTGTGAATCAGGGCCGCAGTGCAGGATGGCACATAAAGGAAGCCGAAAGCGCATGTGATAATTAGATGCCTCTCCATCTGGCCCGAGAGCGCTCATTCATTCAACGTGCTAGGCTCTGGGCTGGCTGCTAGGCAGAGAAGCACAAGTCTCTATTCTCAAGTGCTGGCAACTGTGAAAGCCACAAGTACAAAACAATTACATAACTTATGGTTATAACACAGGGGGAAGGCTGTTGAGGGCTAAGTCATGGCTCTGTGAGAAGCCACGAGAATGACCTAAAGTGGACTGGAGGTGACAGGGTGGTCCATGATTGGGGAAGTCTTTCCAGAAGGTATCACACGTACCCTGGTCTTGAACAATGAGGAGAAACACCAAAAAAGCAGCTAAGGAGACTTCTGCGCACAAAGGCATCAATGACAGAAAGCTATGATCAGAGAAACACAAGTGTGTCGTCAGGTGTAGATAGGAAACAGGATCAGTATGTAAGGTGAGAACAAGGCTTCTCAAACTCTAGTGTAAATCTTGTTAAAATTCAAAGAACTTGTTTAAAATCCGGATTCCTGGGCATGACCCTGAGATTCTGACTTATTCTGGTCGGGCCGTCAGTGAAACAGACCAGTACCTGTCAAGCTGCTCAGCACAAAAGCCTGTGTCCCCCATTTCTTGACCTTCCCCAAGTTCCAAAGGGCAGGTTCAAACAGTTGCTAATCAGGGAAGGGAGGGGGATACAGAGACAAGGGAGGAGAAATTAAAAAAACAAAAACAAGACAATAGTGCAGCCTTGCAGGGCAAAGTCCTGGTTCTGCCTCAAGTGATAAACAGGATTCCTGGCGCTCTTCCCCAGAAGTAAAACCCCCAACAAATGGAACACGTTAATTACTTGACGAAGCATTTTTCATCCCAGAGAAGGTCACAGTGTGATAACTTTGAGAATCACAGAAGCACATCAGAAACCCACCTGAGGCCAGATTAAAGGAGAGCAGGCCCTGCACAGCTGATCCTTATTAACAACCCTGCTGGTAAACCATTCCTATAAAACTCCTCACCAAGTCACCCAGAGTTGAGACACACAGGTTTTGAGGGCACAATCCCGCTGTGTCCCCCTTTGCCTGGCAAAGCGATAAAGCTATGCTTTTCTTCTTCACCCAAAACTCTGCCTCCCAGATTCCATTGGGTACCTGCGCAGAGGCCATTTTCAGCATCATCATGTTCATTATTAACCAGTACTCCCGTGCTGCTCATGGAGGTCAGCACCACACTCTGACAAAAAGTAGTTTGAAGATAAAGGATGGGGAAGGTCCAGGAGATTTGGAAAACATAAGGCAGGACCTCGAATCCATGCTAAAGACTTTGGAAATTATATTGACTATAATAAAAAACCCTGAAGGGATTTAAGTAAGTGAGGGACAGGATCACATTTGGACTGTAGAAAAGATCACTTTGTAGCAAAACGGAAAATGGGATGGAAGAAGCTGAGCTCAAAGCTACAAAGAGACAGCAGGAAGTTATTACAATCTTTAGACACATAAATGAAGGAAAGAACAAAGGGGGATGAACTTGGCAGCACTGAGTCATCAATTAGGGCTTCCCTGATATCTCACACCATAAAGAATCTGACTAAATGCAGGAGACCTGGGTTCAATTCCTGGGTTGGGAAGATTCCTCGGCGAAGGGAATGGAAACCCACTCCAGTATTCTTGGCTGGAAAAATCCCACGACAGAGGAGCCCCATGGGGTCGAAAAGAGTCGGGCACAACTGAGCAACTAACACGTTCACCCGTGATCAACTATTATAGATGGTGAGAGAAGAGGTACCAAGCCAGGTTTGTACCTGGGCAACTTATTGAATAACGATTTCAATCACGAGATCTGGGAAGTAGGTTCATGAAGAAAGGTGTTATATGTGGTGTAGGAGATGCTGAGTTTGAGATTCCCATAGGGGATCCAATGGAAATGATCAATGGGTATGTGGACTTAGCAGTTAGAAGCCAGGAGAAATTGGATTGAAGATATAGATTTGGGATTCAGTGTGAAGGAGGTCAAGATGGAGTGCAGATAAAATACCCAGGGCAAGGACAGAAATTAGAAAACAATTTAAGAGTTTTAAGAGTCTGTTTTAAGGCCACCCATGACCCACTGGAACTGCCTTGCGTCACAAATGAATGGGTCTATCCATTATAAAACTAGTGCAGAAACATGCAAGCAGCCTAGAGCAGTGGAAAGAACATTGGTCTAAGACTGTGGCTTAGATTCAAGTCCTACTTTTGTCACTTATTGGCAGTGAGAGCCTGGGTAAGGCATTTAACCCGTCTCTTATGTTTTCGTGAATAAATGAGGATCAGTTCAATTGTCTCTCAGTCGTGTTCTTTGCGACCCCAAAATGAGGATTCACCTGCCTCTGATCAACTCATTTGGCTGTAAAGTTACCATTGTACCAGATGTGGATGCACTTTGTAAATATCTCATTTAGGTCATCATCACAATATGCAACATATGAGCTACCAATGTATATGCTTTCTAAGTACCCAACAGAATTCTTATTCCCCAATCACAGTAAAATATATATATATATATTTTATAAAAATAAATTTATTTTATTTTATAAAAAAATAAAAGTTGGCGTATAATAGCCATTGGAGAAATAATGGTTGCACGGCTCATCCGAAATGCATGTTTGCTTTTCCCCTAAGAATTCCCAAATTCCAATTGTATTCGACCCTCCTCACAAACCGTGGGGCTTTCCTTAGACGTTGAACCCTCACAGAGCAGGTTCTAACAACAGAACCTAGTAACGCAGGTAAAATGAATGAATCAACCGACCAGAGAACAGTAGCCCTATTTTGCAAATAAGTTAGGTGAATCGCTCTCTTCTCCCCACCCCACCCCCCACCTTACCCTCGTCCCCAAGAAAAGGAAAGGGTCGCACAAGTTAGCGACAGCTCTGGGGCCAGAGCCCAGGACATGTGCCTCCCGCAGTGGCAACAGGACCCCGCCATCCGATGCTCGGAGCTCTCCCAGTGCCGCTCCGCCCGGCCCTCGCTCCCACACCCTCCGTCCGCAGCCGCGTTCCGACAGCGGCCACCTAGGCCCGGCCCCCGGGGCCCCGCCCCACACCCCCGAGTCCAGCGCGCCAGCGCTTGCACGGTCCCCGAAACCCGCTCCCGGCTCCCAGCGCCAGCACCGCCGCACTCACCACGGCTGGTCCCGCTCGCCGCCCTGCCTTTCCTGTGTGCTCCCTTAAGAGTCCCCCGCTCTTTGAAGGGAAACAGCTACCGCCGCCCTCGGGTTCCGCGGCGGGTTCCTGGCGCGCAAGGAGGGCGCGGTCTGCAGGGGCCGCCGCTGCCAGGGGACTGTCTTCGGGTTTTGATCAAGCATTTATTTGATCTCCATCCTTGTAGCTCGGACGGTAAAGCGTCTGCCTACAATGCGGGAGACCTGGGTTCAGTCCCTCTGTCGGGAAGATCTCCTGGAGAAGGCAATGGCAACCCACTCCAGTATTCTTGCCTGGAGAATCCCGTGGAACCGAGGAGCCTGGCGGGCCACAGTCCATGGGGTCCCAAAGAGTCGGACACGACTGAGAGACGTCACTCCTCACTCAATTATTCATCCATTCATCCTTACCACTTATCCCTCTGTCGCTCAACAATATTTTATGAGAAGCCTAAAAGGCAAACACTGTTTTAGGGCCTGGCGCCCAATCAGAGAATTTTAGGCAGTGATATAAACCGCTCATTCATTATGGACAGGAATTTGAGCAAACTCGGGGAGACAGTCGAGCGCAGAGGAGTCTGGCGGGCTACAGTCCATTGGGTCGCGAAGAGTCCGACACGACTTAGACACTAAACATGTACACAAGAAAATGAAAACAGGTGATCGAGAGTGGGTGGAGAGAACTATTTTAAGTTAGGCCTCTCCTAGTAAGGGGCAATTAATCTGAGACCGGAAGGCGAGAAGGAGCAAGTCAAGTAAGGTCCTCTTATCTAGACGAAAAGAGCCTGAGGGAGGGAACAATCAGGGCAAAAGCGGTAAAGTCTGAGGCAGTTTACCAAGTCAGGGACCAGAGTGGGTGAAGCAGAGAGAACTAAGGAGTAGGTGACAGGGGTGAAGGCGGAAAGGTGGGCAAGACAGGCCAAGGGAGTAAGGAGCTCCGACGGCGTTATAGGCAACGGGATGGGAAGACCTGGAGGGTCAAGGGAATGACGTGATCTGATTTGCATTTTAAACACCTCTGGCCACACTGTTCTGTTCAGTCACTCAGTCATGTCCTACTCTTTGAGAGCCCATGGACTGCAGCACACCAGGCCTCCCTGTCCATCACCAACTCCCAGAGTTTACTCAAACTGATGTCCATTGAGTCGGTGATGCCATCCAATCATCTCATCCTCTGTCATCCCCTTCTCCTCCTGCCTTCAATCTTTCCCAGCATCAGATCCAAATGAGTCAGTTCTTCGCATCAGGTGGCCAAGGTATTGGAGTTTCAGCTTCAGCATCAGTCCTCCTTCTAATGCATATTCAGGACTGATTTCCTTTAGGATGGACTGGTTGGATCTCCTTGCAGCCCGAGGGACTCTCAAGAGTCTTCTCCAACACCAAAGTTCATAAGCATCCACAATGTAGTGAATAGATCCTAGCGAGTAAGAGAGGGCAGAGAAGGCAGGTCACAGGCAGACCACCAGAGGGCAGTTCTAATTCTCTGTCCTCGCACCTTTTCCCCTGACCAGCACCTGTAGGGTGGAGACCATGCCAGTCAATCAAGAATGTTTTCTTTCCTTCTCCCGTTCATTACTGGTCAACCAACAGTTGCAGAGTGTTGGGCATGCGCTAGGCACAGGGGATGCACGCCTGCACATCACCCCTCCCCATGGTCCCTGCCCTCATAGAGTTTGCAGTCTAGTTTCCCCGCTTACTGCATAAAGACACACATCCTTCCTATCGCCCCCATATGAATGATTTAAGAGAAATGAGACAGGCCGATAAGATTATGGTGCAGTAAAGCTTACTTGCCAAGTTCTAATCCTCAAGGGGCCATATTAACGGTAGGGTGAACTTCCTAGACCATCCACCTGTAAATTAGGAGACTAGATCATCATTAAAAACAATCCTGCCTAGCTGTAAAATGTTGTGATATTTTAGGTATGACAGTTATTTTCAACTCTCCTTTTCCAACCATCTAAAACATTTGCATTTGAAAATAAGTTGCTGAACTGCTTGCCTGCAGGTTAGAAAAATTTGGAACTTCATGCTGCATGGTCCAACGGGCAGATTAAGCTTCAGGGCTCCAGCAGAACAGTGTTTCCCCTCGGTGAGAAAAGTTCAGCTTAAATGAGTTTTTCCATAAGTTTCCAATAAAAAAATGAAGCAATGGAGAATAAAGTTTTCTAAAAGTATATATCTATATCCTATATGGAGAAGTATACTTTGTATACTTTCTTTATACATACACTTTTTCTGTTGTTCTAGAGCTGATTTTATCTTTGTTTTGGATCACACAGCGACAGGACGCTCTATACTCATGTAATTAGGACCGACAAGCAACAGAATCCAGACTAGCTGGGACATCCTCGTCCCGAGTGGGTGTGATCTGACCACACTGAATGTGCTCGTGTGCTTGCTGGCCTGGGAGCGCCCAGTGATGACAGCTGTGGCAGCTGTCCGTGCATCTGTGCAAACGGTGTATCGAGTTTCACAGCAGTGAGAAGAGTCCTCCTTCTGTGGTCTGTGACTTATTGCCACAATTGGATGAGACCATAGCACTGCCCAGGCTGCGGATGGGCACTTAGTGTGATCGAGAAGAAAGCAGAAAAGCCTGGTCATTTCAGTTCAGTCACTCAGTGGTGTCCAACTCTACAACCCCATGGGCTGCAGCAGGCCAGGCTTCCCTGTCCTTCACCAACTCCCAGAGCTTACTCAAACTCATGTCCATCCAGTCAGTAATGCCATCCAACCATCTCATCCTCTATCGTCCCCTTCTTCTCCTGCCTTCAATCTTTCCCAGCATCAGGGTCTTTTCCAATGAGTCAGCTCTTTGCATCAGGTTGCCAAAGTATTGGAGTTTCGGCTTCAGCATCAGTCCTTCCAGTGAATATTCAGGACTGATTTCCTTTAGGATGGACTGGTTGGATCTCCTTGCAGTCCAAGGGAATCTCAAGAGTCTTCTCGAACACCACAGTTCAAACCACAGTTCAGTGCTCAGCTTTCTTTACAGTCCAAATCTCACACCCATACATGACTACTGGAAAAACCATAGCTTTGACTAGATGGACTTTTGTTGGCAAAGTAAAGTCTCTGCTTTTTAATAAGCTGTCTAGGTTGGTCACAACTTTTCTTCCAAGGAACAATCATCTTTTAATTTCATGGCTGCACTCACCATCTGCAGTGATTTTGGGGCCCAAAAGAATAAAGTCTGTCACTGTTTCCATTATTTCCCCAACTATTTGCCATGAAGTGATGGGACCGGATGCCATGATCTTCGTTTTCTGAATGTTGAGTTTTAAGCCAACATTTTCACTCTTCTCTTTCACTTTCATCAAGTGTTCTTCTTCATTTTCTGCCTTGAGGGTGGTGTCATCTGCATATTTGAGGTTATTGATATGTCTCCTGGAAATCTTGATTCTAGCTTGTGCTTCATCCAGTTCAGCATTTCTCATGATGTACTCTGCATATAAGTTAAATAAGTAGGGTGACAATATACAGCCTTGATTTGGAACCAGTCTGTTGTTCCATGTCCAGTTCTAACTGTTGCTTCCTGATCTTCATACAGATTTCTCAGGAGGCAGGTCAGGTGGTGTGGTATTCCCATCTCTTGAAGAATTTTCCACAGTTTGTTGTGATCCACACAGTCAAAGGCTTTGGCATAGTCAATAAAGCAGATGTTTTTCTGGAACTCTCTTGCTTTTTTGATGATCCAGCAGATGTTGGCAATTTGATCTCTGGTCAGATTCAACCCCAAATAAGAGACCTCTGATGGTTATTCTAGCCTCAGGGCTCCTCACGGGGTCAGCTGAGGCGGTCAGGCTGTGTCAAAGCTCAGCTACTCCCTCTGCCTCATCCTGCTTCCTTCTCCCCACCCTCTCCCCTCCCCTGCTTTTTTTTTTTGCAGGTATTGATTCCATTAGTCAAGGACTGAAGACTGGTCCTCTCTCAATAGGGAGAGTCCTGGAACATCTCCTCTGCTGGGCCATGATGAGAATTTCAGGTTCCAGAGAGGGACACTCAGGTCTGACACCACAGCCCTTAGATGCGGGGCACCAGCCCTGAGGTTCGATGGCACTTTCATGCCTTAGATGAGGCCGAAGAACTCCCCGGAGGTGCACAGTCAGAGACAAGGGCATGGCTTATACTCTTCTGCTGCTGCGTTCTTTGTTCAGTATTGCTAACAGTTGAGTGAGGTTCCCAAAGAGCAGAAAATCAACTCCCAGTTGCCAGGTGGAGTTTTCCTGGGCCTCCAACTCATGCCTGGAGAACATTCTGCATGGTCAAAGATAGGGATGTGTGTCTCCTTCACACAACATGCTGCCATAAATGGTACTTGTTACAAATTGAAACTGGGCTTCCCTGGTGGCTCAGTGGTGAAGAATGCTACCTGCCAATGCTGGAGACATAGGAGACAGGAGTTTCAATCCTTGGGTTGGGAAGATCCCCTGTAGAAGGAAATGGCAACCCACTCCAGTATTCTTGCCTGGAGAATCCCATGGACAGAGGGGCCATGGGCTGCAGTCTGGGGTGGCAAAGGGTCAGCCATGACTGAGCATATGTTGAAATAAACTACACATTGAAAGTGTGAATTCAGTTGCCTATAAAATGAAGCTGTGTTTCCCTGAGAGCATTAGAAGTATGTACTGTCATTTTTGTTCAGTCTCTCAGCTGTGTCCGACTCTTTGCCTGGAATGCAGCATGCCAGGCTTCCCCATCCTTCACTATCTCCCAGAGTTTGCTCAAACTCACGTCCACTGAATTGATTATGCCATCCAACCGTCTTATCCTCTGTTGCCCCCTTATCCTCCTGCCCTCAAACTTTCCCATCATCAAGGTGATTTCCAATGAGTCAGCACTTAGCATCTGGTGGCCAAAGTATTGGAGCTTCAGCTTCAGCATCAGTCCTTCCAATGAATATTCACAGTTGATTTCCTTTAGGATTGACTGGTCTGACCTCCTTGCAGTCCAAGGGACTCTCAAGAGTCTTCTCCAACACCACAGTTTGAAAGCATCAATTCTTCTGCACTCAGCCTTCTTTCTGGTCCAACTCTCACATCCATACATGACTAATGGAAAAACCATAAGTTTGACTATACGGACTTTTGTGGGCAAAGTGATGTCTCTGCTTTTTAGTACACTGTCTAGGTTTTTCATAGCCTTTCCTCCAAGAAGCAAGCATCTGTTAATTTCATGGCTGCAGCCACTATCCAT